CCCTAAGGCCTCTCTCAAGTCACCTATCTCAAGACTGATTCTCAACACTAGTTTCTTTGGATAGCCCATGGAAGAGTCATGCACATGATTTAAGACATGGCAAAACAATGTCTTGAGTGGGCAAGAACTGATTTACTTACAGGATGTTTCAACAGGACAAGAGACTGCAAGCACTCCCTTCCTGTTTGTCTACCCCGTAACATTATCAGGAAACTACATGGAAGAGAAATGAGTCAGAAATAGTGACAATTGATAGTACCTGTCTTACAGTGATGCTTGGGTAAGACCAAATCATAAGAGCTGTGGGGATTTTTCTTTTTGTACCAGCTTAAAGTTAAGCAAATCTACCATTTAGAAAACAATTGCTTGTTTAAAAACAAACAAACAAACAAGCAAACAACACCAAGAAAAAAACAAAAAGGAAATCGACAAACAGCAGAATTTATGTACCTTAAATTTTTCTACACATAGAAGTGAGCAAATAAGTAAAAGCAACAGTTTTAATAAAGATTTAGATTCATGCTAAAGCTTCTCATACAAGTTAAACTTTTTATTCTATCTCACTATTTTTGGTAAACTTCTTTCTCGTGTAAAGTTTTAGACAATTACTGAAATATCTTCAATGGCCATAACTGGTATTACACACCTCTTCCCATCACATCTACAACAACACGCAAGTAGTGGTAATCATAAACATTGATATGCTAAACTATTCAGATCATAAACATGCTTATCTGATTACTGTCCAAGTCACAGTCTACAGTAAGTACCTAACTGAACTTGCATTTTAATAAGAAACACTTTTTCCAGTACAAAATATCTGACTTCAGATATTTTTAGCTGTAAATGTCTTACACAAAGCTGTAGTTCTTTGCCAATGTTCACTCAAGAATACGGGAAACAAAATGTAGGGCAATTCTTATAAGCTTAGATAAAAGAAAATGAAAGTCAGTCCTACCGCAGGAGTCCAAATAGCCAGTCTATTGCTCTGAACTACTGCAAACATTCCCAAGGAATATCTGCAGTGTAGCCTGGAAGGAGCCAGTAGATCTGCAGTGTTATTAAATTAGTAGCCACTTTCTCAAATATAGGAAGGGCTGAGACAGCAAGAGCAAAACACTACTCTAATTCCTAAAGCCTCCATGTTTGATGAAGACCCCATATCACAGTTCCTTCATATCCAAAAGGTGCTGGGTCAGAAAATGCAACCAAATGAAAACCCAGGGGATGCTTGATGGTGTAAGTAAGCCACCTTCAGCATCCCTTTTGATCAGGTCAGCTTTGAGCAGGAGTAATAGCCAGCCATGCTCCTGTCAGTCAAGCTTCAGGAGGAAAGATGGCAAACAGTCCTTTGAGATTTTAGTTGCTGATAGTACACGTGATTTCTGAAAACCAAAGACAACTAAAAGGGTCACTAAGGCCCAACCTGTAAATCTTTAAAAGAAGTTTGAGATGTAAGATGCCAGTGTTAAAAAACAGTTCAGACTGCACAGGGGTGTGTCATGTCTGGGCCTAACCTGACAACAGAGAACCAGCCACATGGCTGCACACTGCCCCCCATTCCCTCACAGATGCACTGGGATGGGGAGGACAAAGGCAAACTAGAAGCTCATGGGTCGAGACAAAGGACAAGTAGGTTTCACTCACCAATTACAGTCAGGGAGAAGGGTTTCTTACGGTCCTCCCCTGCTTCCACCCGGCATCCTATGGGAGACAGTCCTTCATGAACCTCTCAGAGATGAGTCCTTCCCACTGTGTGCAGTTCCTCAGGAGCAAGCTGCTCCAGCACAGGCTTCCCACAGAGTCACGGGCTGCTTCAAGAACAGACCCCTGGCTTGGGGTCCTCCAGGGCTGCAGATCCAAGTCCACGGTTGCAGGTCCACATTCACCAGTCTTCGATTCTCCACCCCAGCATTGCTCTCCAGCTCAGCTCTTCCTTTGCTCTCTCTTCTTTCAGGTCTTCTATTAGGTCTTTCATATGTTAATTGCAGAAGTGCATATCTTTCTAATGGCTCTCGGCCTTGGCCACCCAAAGTGGGGGAGCTTTTTGTAACTTCTTACAGGAGCCACCCTTGGGCCCCTCCCCACTACCAAAACCATGCCAGAACCAAACAAGCACAAGGTCACAGCAAGCAGTCATAAAAATTAACTTGCAATATATCAAATCATTAGAAGTGCTTTAAGAATGGAATAAACTGGTAGGTAAGGCAAACAGCCAGAAGGCATTTACGAGTATGAACTCGTAAAGCTTGCAAGAGATAGGTGGGCAGAATTCCTACTCTAGTACTTTGATCCCACACATCTCAGCACCATTCACAGAGAAATAAGGTCTAAAAAGGAACAGGGAGACAGCAGATGGACAGTCATAAGGATGCTTCAGAGCTCTGACTCCTCACTTTCATATACAGGGAGTCTTTTAACACCACAAGCAGAAAGACGCAGCAAATAGGACAAAGCTGCCCATTTTCAAAACTAGCTAAGAACCAGGTACTCCTTAGCCACTTCATTTTACAGTGACTAGAGAAAACAGATCCTATTCTCAGAAGCACCATTCCGGGACTGTGTGGTGCTTGGTGAATGGTGCAAAGCCAGTCACATCCCATGGATTCCTCTGTCGCACCACTGCTTCCAGTCTTTTCTGAAGCAATACTATCCTACCCACATTGAAGATGGTCTCACAGCTTCTAAGTACACATTTATGGAATGTGAACACTTCAGAGCCTGCAAGACAGCGCTGAAATCTATAAGCATCCATTACATGGCAAGAGCTGCATTGCCTGTGTGTGCATAGATGGGTCTGAAGTGTAGCATCAGTGCAGCTGCAAGTCAGCTGAATGGGGAAAAAGAAATTATACACTGTACTATTGTAACTGTCTCTAAATACGTAATTCTTCACTATAAAAGAAAAAATGCCACACTCAGGTCAGGCCTTCTGGTTCAGTGACCTGCCTTAGGGTATTGGACAGCAGCACGTATGTCAAAAAAATGCATACAAGAAACTACAGTTAATAAAAACCCACCTCCGGAGGGAAGCATCTCTGTTGTTTATGCCATCAGTACACAGGCTTGTACCATTATGAACAAAGGCTGGGTTTTTAATCCCCATTTCTTCTATATATTCCTGTCACATTCCAGAAGGCTGGAAACGTAACAGTTCTTTACAGATACCGAAAGGACTAAGTACAGAGAACAAAGCTTCAGGTGTAACAACATAACTTTATTAAAGAAACATGGCATTAAACTTTGGTGAGCAAGGAAAGCATAGCATGAGGTAAATCTTAGAAGGGTCCTAAACCTCAATTAGGAGAAGATCAGAGGAGTGGTGGGTCATTCCTAGGAGGAGGCAGGGAAGAGCATCCAGGAGCAGAGTGTGGTAGACCAATAGTCTGAAAGGGAGGTAGTCCAATAAGGAAAGGACATAATTTTACAATGTGAATTTCTTGCACCACACTGGTTGGCCAATTGTAAAGTTCTGTTGAGTGCCACATTTTCTTGGTGGGCTTAGTTGTCCAGACAGGGATTTCCAGGGGTAAATCCCCCAGAAGTCTCTTTGAGTCTGACCCATATGCACAGCAGAGGAAAGCTTTCTCCCTTCAGCACTTGCACAGACATGGTATACACACCCTCCCAAGCAGGCTCCTCTCAAGTCCCCCAGATTGTTCAAGACAAAGCTTAACATGTGCCATCCGCCACAATTCCTTCTCTCCAACTCTGCCCTTTGTTTTCCTTCTCTTCTCAAGCCTTCTGTTTCCTCCCAGGAGGAGACAAAATGTCTCACAATGTCTTCTTTCAGGGAAAGAGGGGAGCAGTCAGGAGGGTGGGGTGCCATACTCTTGTACATAGCACTGCCCTTCTAGCAGGATTATCCTGTTCCAAGTCAGCCTGACTGAGGCTTTACCATTTAGTTTCCAATACTGCACTACAAGAAACAGGAGGTACCAGGGGGAAGCTGCAGCTCTGCAGCACTACAGCCCGGACCTATGGGTGCAAAACACTTTTACCCCTATTTCTAGGGGAACAAACAAAAAGCTGATGTTGAGGATTGCTGGCAACGCAGTTGTCATGGCAGGGTGAGCTACTGTCACACGCATCACTTGTACACATTTTTCTAAGCAAAGTTTATATTTAGGGAACACAACTCTCTGCTAGAAATGTATATGAGATGGCATTTTATTATTATGCATAATTTGTGTAATTCACAGCTTACTGGTCTGTAGTTTTAGAATGTAGTGGATGTGTACAAAAGCAAAGTTAAAGGACTCAGCATTGACAGTGAAAATAAATCACATTTTAATGTTAGATCACACTATACACTGCATCTCAGTAGACACAGAGGATATAGAATGAATAATAATTATATACTTAGAGCTCAAGGGTCTTCCACCCACATTTTCTGATTTAAATCTGAAGTGTCTGCCTTTAAGCTCAAGTCAAAAACCCACAAAACAACAACAAAAAAGCAGGGGAGGAAGGGGAGAAAGATGCACACAGCTGAAACAGCCATAGGTTTCACACTTGCACATACCACACAGATGTTGCTCTTTTCTTTTAAACTCAACAGCCTTTGCAAATAAATACATATTATCGTGTAGTTTTATATTTCAAGTTACACTTTAGCACTTCTTTAAAAAAACTGGAAAGAAAACCAACAGAACTGAAGTTTACTTCAATATAGTCACTTAGTAGTCCATGACTTTCTTAATTACTAACAGATTCAACATTTCAGTCTCTAAAGGTATTAATCCCAATTGTGTTTATTGGGTAGGAAAGTAATGAAATAATCGGCAAAGAACAGCAAAGACAGCTAAGAAGCTAACAATACAGAATTTTAGTTTGCATTTATTAACGACACGTTTTGCATATTTTTATCACAGCTTTGTTGTTGGGTTTTGGGGGTTTGGTTTGGGTTTTTTTGTAATGGTAAACGAAGTCTAGTAATTTCACAGAAAGTTCATAAAGGAATAATGCAACAGTCTTACAGTACATACTTTAGTGAGGTTTCACCACTCTGCATCTCCAAAGGCTTTTGCAAACACATGGTCTTTACCCTCGAAGGACATCACTCCATCTTTTAAGTAAAACTTCCATTTGTTCTTACTTCGATGTATCTGATAAAAGAAAAAAAATCAATGCCCCCCCTACATATTAGACCAGCAAATACTTTGTTTATAAAACTTTTCTTTTAAAATCCTGATAGCCCGAAACATGTGAAACACTTCCATGAACAAAGCATAAATAATCAATAGAGGCAGTAGGCAAACGTAACTGTGTGAAAGATAAAACGCTGGCAGGAAAACAAGCCAGTAACAGAGCAATTTCATTAGTGTATCAGTACCAAAATATCCTGTACCTTGTAAACAAGTATGCAAACCACTGAAAAGCAGCTGTTTCCTTCTCTCATACACATTGCAAAGCAGTATTGCATGCATGAGGACATCAGAATAGGGCTAAAAGCAAGAAAACATTGCTCAAAGCAAATACTGCCATACAAAATAAGAATTTATATGCTGTTTATTTTTAAAGGCCTGCAAAGCAATCTACACTGCAGAAAGTTATTTGTATTTTTAATACTAGAAGAAAAAAATGTAAACCTTTCTTTAAAAATCCTTGGATTTTAAGCATCAGTCTATTTTCAAGTCCAAAAAGAAAAAAAAAAGGGGGGGGGGGGGGCGGGGTGCTTTGGGATGTGCTTTTCATATAAAACTGTGCCATGGAGGCTACTTTCAATTAACACTGTGGATAATTGCAGAATAGGGCTTAGTTCCTCAGTTCCAAGTGAAGCTTCGTTAACAAGTACAGCTATAGGCATTGAAAACAAACAATATTTCTTTTTAACTATCATAGCAACTTTTGTGCCTACTAGTTTGAATAAAGACTGGGGGGGGGGAGCTAGAGATCAAAAGAAACTGCACAGGCTTTTTGCAGATTGCATTTTTTATAGGTAACAGGGTAATTTCATAGGTAACCGTTTCCATCTACCCTCTACTAGGTATATATGTTTTATTAAAGGAAGCAGGGAAGTTACCAACATCTTCCACAAACTTCTGTAACTGGTAATTTCTAATAACATCTGACCTTAAATTTCCTATAGACATGTCCAATGCTGAACTTCCCAGCAGTTTTAAAAACTTTTCCACTAGTTTTTCAGCTTATTACAGACAAAAGTTGCCCTACATAACAATGCTACCTATGTCATCTGTAACATTAAGCTGAGTTTTGAAGCTTTCAGAACTTTTCAATACATACAGGCACTCTGGCTCAACTTCAGATGCCCTTTCTACGCACATCCCTGTGACTACATTTTCAAAAATGACTAGTTTCAGGAACACTCAATCTGTTACACTTTGCTAAAAACCATTTTCTTAGCAGCTGTTTCTTAAAACACAGAAACCATTAAGGCAGGCCCAGTTGAACATGCACACGCCCCCCCACACACACCTTTTGAAGGTGTGCCAAGGCACATTCTTAAGCAATCTACAGACATATTTGTCCCTATTTGTTTCAAACCAAGATGCACACTTTGATTTGTCAACTTTTAAACTACTCACATATAAGTTTCCAATACCTTACCAGAGTTAGAAGTACCTAATTTGATCTCTTAAGAGTTCAAAATCAGACTGTTTTTTAAACATTAAATTGAAGGAGGACAAAACAGCCCTTAACAATGGTTGTCCTTTCAAAGCACAACAGAATTCTGGAAGTAGTTCAAAGACAACAAATATAAAAGAAAGTACAACATAATCCTCTGTTATTGATTTCAAAAGTCTTATTTCATGGCTGAAAATGCATACATACATCCATGGAGTTGTTGACGTTACTAAAAAATTAAGGAAATGCATACGCTTTAGCAGTTTTACACATCTTCATTTTAGATTTGGTCACCTTTCCTTTTCATTTAATAGGCCACTCTGAACCCATTGATTATCCTTATTTCAGAAAACAGGAGGTACGTCTTCAGACTATTGTCAGCTAAACATGTAATTTAAACACTCAATTATTACAGCATTAGATTTTCTTTAAAAGGCCCTGACAGCAGACCAGACATGGATTTGCTGAAGATATTGTTTAGAATTATTAAGGAAAAAAGATAAAACTATACACTGTACCTTGTCATACTGACAAACTATCACATTGTCGGTGTCAAACAAGTCTGGAATGTCCTGTTCACTGACATCATCATCAGAATTTAAGGGGTCCTAGAGATAAAAATTGTCTTTTTTCAGAATCACACTGAATATACTTCACATTAAACACACCTAGAAGAATAAACGCTATCAGTGCAAAAGTCAAGACCTAGAGGTTATGAAGACCATGTTGCACAAAGCTCTTTTATAAGCTTCCCTACATGTTTACATTCTGAAAAACAAAAACAGCCTTAACAAAAACACAAGACTGCAAACTGACAAAGCTGACCCCAGTAGCTGGAATACTAATCAACTGCTGGTTTTTTGAAGTCCAGGTGCTAGAAGTTGATTCTGTCTTGAATCTCCAAGATACGAAATTGCACATCTTTAAGAAAAGCCTTGTCCTAGGCAAGGCAAGTATTTGTATCACATGGTTCTCTTCTCTGACTCTTTTCTCTGTGGTCCTTCAGAAGAAAATAATCTAGAGTTGTATTTCAATCTTACTTAAATAAAAAGCAGAACTCCAGTGAGGCCAGGGTTCTACTACAGAACTTTAATTCTGGTAATAAAATGTTTTCTATAATGAAGTGGCTTCTCAACATCCTTCATTTGTCCACACTCCTCATAATGCGCACTTCAGTAACTTCTCAGTAGCATCTCCTATCTCAAGGCATACGTAACTTAACTGCGTATTCTCTGCATTAAACTTACCTGGAATTGTTCTGGGTCCAACAATTCAACAGTCAAGACAGATTATAACTACCGTAACATGCTTCACAAAGCTTAAAAGTCAATTACCTCCTCAACTACATCTATTTGGGGCTCTTCATTATCACCACCACTGCTGCTAGACTCCGTGTTTGAAATACTGTCACATTCTTCATCGCCTTCCTCATCCTCCAGAAGTTTTAGATCCTCTGATTCAATAATGCCAATAAATTCATTCTCTTCCCTGTCTTCTGCATGTGGTGTTTCTTCCTTGGGAGGAACATCACCAGTTCCATCTAGCTGAATTATGCCTTCAATATGACTGCAGATATCCTTCTCTGATGGTAAATTAGCTTCCATCTGCTCAGTAGGTTCCATCTGACAGGAGTAAAAGAAACGAGTGACAGCTTGTGAATGAGCGCCATATAACTTTCACTGTTGAGAACAATGCCTGAGATTTTTGTTTAATAAAACAACAAGATTGGGGCACTAAAATGAGTTTCAAGTCCTGTCCAACTTATAAACCCTGAGTACATTTGCAAATCTTACACCTAACCTTAAATGGAATCCATGCCAACTATTCCTCAGCAGTACAGAAAGACATTCTCTGAGACTCTTCTTTAAACATTAGTGTACTCAAATAATTTCTCAATAAAAAGATGATCGAGTTGGCCTTTAGAAGTTATATTGCAAAGAAAACTCCAAAAACAAAATAAAAAACAATACAAAGGAAACAAGCTACTCCCCCAGCTCCAAAAATAGCATTTTTCATTTTTTAAATAAGTTATTATTAACTCATCCCTCTTCCTCAATACAATCAAAATAGTTTGTTTAAATAAGATACAAAAAAGAGAGACAGTATGTATTCCAGCAGTTACTGTTCATAAGAGCACTAGAATTCCTAAACTGAGAGTTCACAGGAGCATAAAAGACCTTTAAGCTTTCAGTCACCTTCAGTTTCTCATTAAATCTTTATTGTAGCATTTAATTCACATCCACTTTCTAATTCAAGAAAATAACACTTTTATCTTGACCTTCCAATCTTATAACAGACAGTCTTCACCATCCTGCCATCAAAGTTCAGATAAGCAATATACCATGCTTTCTATTTACAGTAATTTGTCATTACTGTCATTAAATTTGCATTTAATAGATTTGCCTCAATCACATATAAGCACTACAACTCAAAGTCAGCAAGCCAGCCTGAACTTAAGAGATCTGCAAATAATTGCTGGAGCAAAAATTAGATGAGGTCAGAAAAGTGGCTTGTTAATTAAAATAATTCAGGTTTTCGACACAGCTCTGAATTTTAGTTTTTCCCAAGAAAATACATTTTCTTCTAGCAGATTTTCTCTTATCAAGTTTGACTTTTCATACTCAATATGCATTCTCAATGCAAATTAAATGTTCTTCACAAATTACAAGTTAAAACTAATCCTAGCAGACACTGCAAAAGCCATTTGCTCACAACTGGCCAGTACCCACATGCAGAATCAGCATCAGAGTGATGTGGAAGTTCTCAAAGGGTCATCCACATCTGCTCAGTTGCAAAAATAGAAAACTATTATACCCCAAAATAGTCCATAAGTCTAAGAATACATTCTATCCATTACACTTTGAGCATTTTTTCAATTGACATTCTCTTCCAGTATTTCAGCAATATTTGTAAAAAATTCTTAATGTAAAAATATGCAGCCAACTACTGCTATTCAAAACAAGCTCAAAAATGAACTTTAAATTGTTATAATTTTTATTATTATAACTTAGAGGTGCTACTTTCAGATGTGTTTGATCATATCTCTTATACTTCAACCAGCCACCTCCAACAGAGGTTTTTTTGCCAGCTGAGAAATGAAAGGCCTTACCTTGTCAGAGGGGGCAACACTGTCCTGATTCCTCAGGACAGTGTTATCATCCAGACTTTTGCCCATAATAATCAGGTCAATGATATCATCAGACATCTGCTGCTGTTGCACTGACTCAAGAGTCTCAATGTCTAACTGACCCTCCACATCCAGCAGCACACTGCTCGAGTTGTTTGCCAAGGATTCAAAATGTGAAAACCCTTCAGAGGATTCTGGAGTAAACACAGCTGTGTGAAGATTGCCCTGCTGAGGTTTTTCTGTTGAATCTGCATGCTGATTAGCTGCGAGTTGCTGCTGACTCACAGAAGCCTGGTGGACCAATGCAGTATTAGCAGAGTTCTCTGGGTGTCTTTCTTCCATAACATTTGGTTGATTTTCCATAGTCTGTTGGAGAGCAGTCTCCTGGGGTTGCCATGTTTCAGCAGCTGCCTGGGCAGAAGATGCATTCACCTGGGCAACACTGGCAACATTGGCTTGTAGAACTGAAGGTTGCCTAACAGACTGAAATATCTGTTGAACAGGCTGATGTAGAACACTTGCATCTCCTGAGGTCTGTGTAACCACAACGGGAACATTTACCTTACAAAGGTGCCCTAGAATAAGAAGAGTTAAAAACTGCTTCAGCAGGTTAAGCTACAGGTTCCTCCAGGCCACTGTCCTGTTACCACTAAAAACCAACAGCAAACAAACTACAAGAAACAGGATGTTTACAAAGCAGTACTTTCCCCAAGAACAATTTCAGTCTTTGAAAATTAAATGTTCAGAAGCTTTTTGAGTCAGAGCTTCCAGCCAGACCATCATGTTTAATACATAGTTTTGGGTTTGGATTAGAAAAAGGAAAATCCTGTTTTACATTTATTTCCATCTCATTTAAAAACTAAGGAATGACAAGATGAAACAGTAAACTATTCTTAGTTCATCTTCTCACTGTATGAAAACCACTCCAAATACTAAATTCTTACAGTTATTATTATGACTGTTGGAATCAAGATATGAGAGCTAAGTTCCCGATTTCATTTAGTAATTATTTTCTCCACACACACGCTTATGCACTCGCAGTCACCAATACCAACACATACATCTCAAAACCTTAGGAACTATACCTGAAATAGATACCTAGCAACATTAGTTCCCATCAAAGATGACAGTTGTTTTGAGGAAAGAAAATATCTATGAAATAAGCCTTCCACTCATCACACCCTACGCAGTACAAGAACATTTTGCACAAGCAGTATAGGCAGTTTTATCAGCAAAAGAGTGCAAGTACAAGGTTAATGGATGGTTGGGTATTATTTTAACAAAAAATCAAATTGATTCTGAAGCACCAGAACATCTTTACCTTTTAAAACACAGAATATTGTTCCTCATAAAGGAGGAGATACCCATGCCTGGACTGACAATGGAACATATTTATAAGCAGTTGTAAAACAAAAGAAATGGCATCACTTGACAACCCATGTTAACTTATACTGCAAGTGGACGCAACTGACACACTAACTAATCAACAAAATTACTTCCCCCATGCAGCAATTACAAACTACAAAGGAATAGGAGGTTAACTGGCTCTACCCACCTATACTTTCATATTTATCTACTTTTTTGGGACCATCCTTCAATATTGACAAACAGTCAATGTGTTGTAACCTTTTACATCTTACCAGATGCTGTCTGCAGCGTCACTCCAGCTGGCACATGTACAGGATAAGCGATATTTGAAGGGAGGGCAAGAGTTGCACCCGCTTGCAAAGCACCCTAGATACACAAGACTTTTATTAAGAAACAGTGCATGCTTTATCTCCTAGGGCTCTGTGTCACACATAACATATCCACATGAAACAAGGAGGGCCTTTTTGTGATTCTCTTTACTGAAGAAGAGTTGCTTCAGACTTTTGAGATTTATACAAAGAATATTCTGTACTGAGAGAATAATTACTTGCCCTAAGAGTTTCCAGTTTTCCAGTTATCACATTCTGTTTTTGTTAATAGAACACTTTCTCTACCCCGTCAATGTACACACCATCCAGAAAGGAATTTTTCCACTCAGAGCTACATTTACCTAAGTTAACATGTAACTTGACCTAACACAGACTCCCACACCTAGGCCTATGAAGCCACTCCAAATTCTCTTTTTTCTCCTGGAAAGCAAAGAGTTGGACACAAGGCTCCCTTCCGAACACGCTGCTCCAAGGAAACCCAAATTTTATATCAGGAAACTTACACATTACACAACTTCCCAATGTTTCAGCTTGGTAAACCAGTTAGCTTGGGGCTCAGGAAGCACTCAGTAAGTTCATCAAGCCCTGAAAATTCATACCCCCTCCTCTTGCCAAATAAATTCTGCCATGCCCAGAGTTCAAAACTTGTCAACTCCAAGAACACTTTGTTGGGGATTATTTCTATGCCATGCAAAGAATGCTGCTCCCAGCTTCACTAGTGCTAGCATTTCCCAACCATGCATTATTTTAACATCCAGTAATAATTAAGAAAAAAAAAAAAAAAGGGGAAAAAAAAAAAAATAGAAGGATCCGTAGAGGTGCATTTCCACTGCACTTCCATCCTGTGGGCTAAATAATGTGCAGCTGTATCTTCCAACATGCTTCTGGGTGCACTGCTTACAAAATTCTTCACTGCTCAAACAGAAGCGGCAGAGCTACAGCTCCTTCTGCAGACTCTCTTGTGTGGTTTTCACCAAATTAAAATAAAATAGAATAAAATATATATATAATAAAAAGAAGGGTCAAGAAAAAGTAACTACAGTTTCTTCACCTGTTTATTCCCTCTCAGCAGAACTCCTGCTCCCTTGCCTACTGTACCATACTGGACAGATGAAACTGTCATGAGAAATGCTAAATGCTGTCCTAAAGCATCTATACATGGGAAGTATGTAATACTTGCTTCCCATTAAGAGTATTAAAAACTGACAAGGTTTATTATTTAGAACAATCAAAATTAAAATGTCAGTACACCTACATACCAGGTCTGCTGTCATGAAATGCTGAAAACCTCTGCCAGCTGGGATGACTAAAGAAGCTATAAAAAAAAAAAAAAAAAAAAAAAAAAGCCACTTTACAAACAGTATCTAAGACATAGTTGATCCTTCAGTAATTTACAACAAGCACTGCTGAAACTAAACCAATCTAACTTCATTTCATACTCATTAGATCAACGAACAAGTGAGTACATCTAGGTAAGGCTCTTGAATATATTTATTCCCCTTTAAGTTACTTCAAGCATATGCTGTACTCAGGGGAAAGGTAATGCCCTGAATTTATAAAGCTTATACTTTGCTAAAAGCTGGTCTTGGAGATTTATTTTTTTGTTTGTTTTAAAAATATTTCTGTTTAACTACTTGATCTCTTTAAGTTGCACTGTAAAAATTAAGCATAGCATTTATATTTATTACATCAAACAGGGTGTAATAAAGGCCAAACATGCAATGCTACCACTTTAACATGAATAAAGGCATATATGTAAAATGTACTGGCTTGCAAACTTGAAGAAAATGTGGAAGTCTTTTTCTGCAGCACAAATCCAATGGTCCTAGCAGTAAGAACAGGAGAACAAGATATTAAAAAGCTCTCAATACTGACTTCAGTTGGAGAATGTAAGCCAAAGGGAAAACCTTCCCAGGCTTCAAGAAGCAAACAGCTTAGGTAGCCCCAACTACTATGAAAATCTCTAGTCATAGGACAATTTAAATTCCATTAAAAAAAAAAAATAAAAATACTGGCTTCAACAGATTTTTGCCTTATTACTGCCCTACCAAGAAATAGGAGTAACAAGGTACAGCTCATTAAATATAAAGCCTTCAATAACAAACAAACACAAAAGAATATTCCCTTTAAACACCTGGAATAAATAAAAGATTTGTTTCCAAAACCAGTCCATTCAACTAAAAAAAAAAAAAAAAAAACCACAACCAAAACACAAAACACAAGAAAACCCACAAAGGAAAAAAAAAAAAAAAAGAAAAAAGGAAAAAAAAGCCCACACAAACAAGCAACAAACCCACACCCAAAAAAACCAGATGAAGATTGCCTGCCCAACCTTTAAGAGCACTACAACATAGATTTATCATTAAATCATCTTGTATGTTTTCCGCCCATTCTGAGGAAAGGCCCTAATGGCCTCTCACATTGGCAGGAGCTTCAGCTGAGCATTACGCTCTACCATAACACTACCACAAGTGGTCAGCTGGACATAATTGAGAGGAATAGGTCCTGATGTCAGAGACTGTGTGAAAGTCAAGTACTTCTCCGCAATGGAAATACTGCTTTTAATAAAACAAACTGAAAGACTAAGAAAAAACCTCCCCCAAAACTCCCACTCTTCTGTTTGAGCATGGCATTACATTTCAACAAGTGCAGAACTCTGGATCAAACCCTAGCATGACAGCAGAGCTGCATGGCAAAAACATGTCATATATCCTCAGTGCACAGCATACTACCCATTAAGAAGGGAAGTGAAAGCTTAACCCTAATGGCAAATTTGCAATTGAAGGCATACACTTGTGGACTGCAGACAAGGCTAAAATTCTCTTCACATTTTGCTAACTGAAATAAGCAGCAGATCAAGAGCATGTGGACATAATTTGTTTATCAAAGTTTAATTTGTCCTTTATTGGTCAAATTCTGCTTTCAAATAATTACTGTTCCCCATCATGTTAGGTATATGCTTAAGTATCACCAAAGCAAGATTACTACAGCACCTTCAAGTCTTCAAAAAAGATTCTTGAATCACTGAGCTATCATTAAATTGCATCTGTTGTGTTCAACATCTGACCTGATGAATCCTGTAGAATGCGGTGAAAATTGGGTGGCAACTGCAAGGTAAACTGTGTACCATGGTGGCTATGTCTGAAGAAGCCTTCCGTTGCTTTAGACTGCATCACCTTGGTTTCCCAAAGCTGCAGGAAGATTATTATTAAGGTCAGCAGATACCAGATTTAAAACCAAATCACATCTCAAATGATAATCAGGTATTCCTAGTTTTTCCGAGATTAAACTCAACTGATTCCAGTCAATAACAACCACTACTGAATTTTGATTTCCAGCAGCCAATATTTGCAGGATATTTGTAACTCTCAATTGGGCAAAAGTTTACATGTTTTGGAGGGCAAAGAAACAGACATGTACCTCATCTCATAAAAACAAACAAACAAAACAAACCACAACTTTTATTAATGCAGGGGAACCCAACAAACCTGTTTCAAGTCTTTCAGAACCTTTTCCTCTACACCCTCTTCTGCAAAGAGTTCACACAGACTTTCAATCACATCTTCAATAATGGACTTGTACAGTTTATGCTATATCAAAAAACATATATATTTTCATGTTAAGATGAGTATCAAGTCATTTGAAATTACAGCACAAAGTCTGATTTTGCTGCACAAACTACTATTACAAACTGAACAGTATGAAGAGACTAGTGTAACAAACTCAAGGCTCTGTCAGGTGCAGAGGTCTGCAAGTCCACCAGATCTGCAAGTCCACTCTTCTAAATCTGACATCCCTGGGAACACATATCCCTAGAAAAAAAATGGATTCGAGCCTCAAATTACTGGTTTCTGTGGACTACAGAAATGCTTAAGACAATCCTAGAAACATTACAAAAACAATGGCTGTGCTGCATTTTCATTCTTCACACAGTAATGCTCCAACACTTTATTCTTTCTTTTGCCCCTGGCAGTGATTAAATCCTAACCTTCAGTCAGACCTGGACAGAAGACATACATGAGCTTCAAGATTCATCCATTCAGATACAAATCATTATTATCACAACCACCAGAACAGCCTCCACAAAATGAGAGATGATGCTGAGGTTGTTAAAAAAACTCAGAAGATTCTGGGATATTAATTTACATTTGCTAACTTAACACCAAATTAATATTCTACTGCTGTAAACCTGTTATACACTATTTTACAATAATAACCATACTCGTGTATGATTTATGTGACTTATTATGGGAGATTACGTATCTCCCAAGAATTCTCCCAGCACATTTCAGGATAGTATGAAGACAAGCAGGGGGAAGGAAAAAACCCCAAAACAAACCTCTTGTGCAACTACACTAAAAGATGTTGTCTGGCCTGTATGTCAAGTGCTTTGCCTTCACTGTTAATGCAGAAAAGAAAGTGAATGTCAATCTTTCAACAGGCCTATTCCTCCCCCCAAGACTGCCAAACTACAGTTAAGTATATTTATTATACTGTATCACAACTACACCTAGCAACCTCAAAATTAAAACGCCCCGTGCTTCTGAATCCGGGGACACGGTTACAGCGCAGCAGGCACTGCTGGGCCCTGCTGTGTTCCCTCACACCCAGGCACTGCAGGGCCAGAACCAGGCCATCCACGTGGAGAACCAGCACGAACGCCAGTTCTCCTTGCAGACCGCGGGGCAGCAGGGAGAGAAGGGCCAGCACTCCATGCCAGCAGAGCCAAAGGGAAGCCTTCCCGGGAGGCTCCCCCGGGATCGCGGGGCCCGGGCAGGGAGAGCCAGGAGGGGAGCGAAGGCCGCCCCTCTCTCCCTGCCACCACCAGCTCCTCAGCGCGTCCCTCCCTTCCCTGCCTCCTACCAACCCCTGCCTCCATCCTTTCGCTCACAAAAACGCTTTTTAAACGACCCTTCCCTCAAAACAGCGGCTTTCCAAGGCAGCCCCGAGCTTCTCGCCCAGGGATCCTCCCTGGGGCCTCCCCAGGACGGCACCTCCCCCTGGCCCCGGCCCCATCCCTTCCCCCGCAGAGGAAGGCAGACCCGCC